CCAGTTGTGGGTTAGCCCAGAGTCAAAACATGGGTGAGGCACCCTTTTTTCTTGCTCCCTTTCCGCTATTCTCTCCCTCCCTCTCCTTTGGTCTCACTCTGCCACTCTTCCTCTGACCCAGTCCTCCCCCATGTCTCTCTGTCACTTAGGCTGAGAAACAATTGCAGCCCCTTTTCCTTCCCCATTTCCCCCCACTAAGGTTGCAACTCAGTTTTAACTACAACCTCTCCCTGCTCCTTCGGACAACTTGTAGGTAGCTCTTCCTGAAAATTCGAAGGGTGTGACATTCTAGCTGCTGGAAAGAGCTGTTACAAATGGATTCTCTCTTATCAGATCCCAGTTGATGCAAAAGCCATGTGGAATCTTTGTGGCTAATGAGCCAGATCCTTATCACTCCCTGCTCTACCTTGGACAGGTGGGCGGGGCCACCCAACTGTCATTAATACGATGTCATATGTCTGCAGGTGATTGATTGGCAGATGGCTGTCCAACCCCTACATGAAAACCTCCAAGGAAGGAGAGTCCGCTATCTCCCGAGGGAGACTGTTCCACTGTCAAACAGCTCTTGCTGTCAGAAAAATTCCTCACGATGTTTAGTCAGAATCATAGAACTAGAGATTTGGAAGGGCCCAAAGAGTCATCTAGTCCAAACCCCTGCAATGCAGGAATCAGAGTTTTCAATTTCACAAGCACTTTCTCCAGTGGAGACAGGTCACACAAGGTCTAAATGGGAAGAAGCCACCAATTTGCAAACCATTTGCAGCCGGCCCCTGACTCACATCTAACTCTTTCACATCCCTATTGGGCAATCTGTTCTGACTAGCTGGTCAAAGTAACATTCCCCCTCCCCTTTCTCACTGAGCAAGATAAAAATGAATTGAATAATCTAGCAAATTACACCCTACAATCTTACATAATGATGATCCAGGAAGTCAATCCGATTGCAAGCACTCTGGGGGTGGGGAGGGAGAGAGCGCCTGGCCTGATCTGCTCAACTCATGAAGCAGCAATTTCACTGCGAGTGATGTGAGTTTTGTGTATTAACTACTTCGCTGTCCCAGATACCCAAAGATGGAATCAAATTCCAGCTCACTCATGGACTGACTGACTCAGTCAAGATAATGCTGGGCAGTTTCCACTCCCCACCTTTAGAATAGCAGCAAAAGACACCTGACACAGACCTGGTTCACATTTTAAGGAGAATGCCCATTTTGACAATCAAATCTTACAGAAACTCTGTAGTTAATAAAAACCAAAGGCAGCCTTGTGTGAATGAGCCTAATGCAAGCAGTCAAGTTTCTTGCAAGCCTGCCTCTGCCAGCTGGGTGCATCAGCTCACTGCCTGACGGGGGACGCCAGGACACGTGACCTCAGGGTGCTCCAGGCAGCACGAGGAGCTGCATGCTGAAAGCCAAAGACCAGAGAGGCTCCCTTTCCCGCTGGCACATCATGGCTGTAGTTTGACTTTGCCCGAATTAGAACCTTCCGCTTAGACACGCGTCTCAAGGGCAAGAAAAACATGCATCCAGCAAAGAAGGGGAAAGGAAATTAATTGGTCACTCTGCAAGAAGAGGGAAAGGAAGGAGATGATCCAGGAGCCAGGGCTGGTGGTGTGAAGATTTCCCCATCATCATCATCTGATGCAGAAGATCCCCAAGTGCCGTTTGTGCTGCAATGCATTGTGTCAGTGAAGTTGACTCTTTATTCAAAGAAACCAAAACAGTGCAGGCTTAGTGATCACAGCCACTCTTCCCAGTAGATATTGCCCTAATAAGGAAGCAGTGAGGACTGAAGGTCTCCACCTTTCCACAGTTCTCTTAAGTTTCATCCTCCCCTCCCCCTCGAGTCCTTCCCAAGCAATCTGAGGCTCCATCGGCTTGTCTGTTTTTGCTCCTCCCTCTTCATACCTCGTCTGGTTCTGGGAGAACAGGGGAGAGAAGAGCTGGTCACAACAGGAGGGGGAGACAGCCTGCATTATCTCTGCCTCCTGCCTCTGATTCTGGACTGCTCTCTGCCACAGCCTCTTCCTGCTCACTGCACCCAGTTGCCTCTTCAAATTTTGACAGTGCTTCTCCCTCTGACCACTTATCATCATCCCACCACCAGTCTCCTGGCTCTGAGCCTTCTTCCCCAGGGGGTTCTCTTGGGGGTTCCCTGGCTGGTGCCTCCCACCTCTCCTCTGCATCCAGCTAGTCCATGACATGCATCAGCAAAAAGCCAGAGAAGAGGAGATGATGGGCTGGTGGAGAGGACCATTCAGCCTGGAGTTGCCAGTTGGAATCCCTGCCCAGGTCTTCTCCTTGTCCTGGTTGCACTGATAATGCGCAGGCAGCCTAAGAACATCAGAAGAGCTCTTCTGGATCAGGCCAATGGCCCATTTAGTCCAGCATCCTGTTCTCATTCTTCATGGCCACTGCACACTGGGTTGACATCTTCACTGAGCTATCCACTACGACCTCAAGGTCTCATTCCTGATCTGTCTCATGGCCAATTCAGACTTCATGAGCATATCTCATAGAATTGTAGAGTTGGAAGGGACCCTGAGGATTATATTTGTTGTCGGCCTGTTGTTCCCACCGTGGGGAAGGGCCGCAGCTTAGTGGCAGAGCATCTGCCTTGCCTGCAGAAGCTCCCAGGTTCATTCTCTGGCATCTCCCTGTAGGGCTGGGAGAGAACCCTGCCTGAAACCCTGCAGCCAATCACTGCAGACAATACTGAGCTAAATGGATCAATGGCTGGACTTAGTGCAAGTCCTATGTTCCATGTGCAAGATCCAGTTGTTGTTTTTAATACTCTGCTTTTCCAAGGACGCCTTGTGGGGCACAAGAGGATGGCAGCATCAAGGGAGACGTGTCTGTGTGAAGGAGCTACTGTAGCTCACAGAAGGTACCTTCATGTCACCTCACAACCCACTGAACACAATCCTTTCCAAGGACACCTCCTCACATGTTCCACTTATACCAGCCCAGATCGCACATGTATGAGCTCTTCACTTGAACATCAGCAGCTGAGTACGTGGACCACAAAAAACATGGGAGATGAAATTTTAGTGTCACACAGGGAGACACGGCTGAAATTTGAGAAACCAAAGCATCTCAAACCAGCCCCATGGATGTCTTATGACCAGCAGCACCTTTTGCATGTACTGCTAAGCCCAACCTGAGCTTTGGGTTTACTTTGTTTTATTGCCTGATTGCAGAGCTTCCTGTTTGTCTCATGTTGAATCACATTTTGTTAGTTTTGGTGCAGTTTCTGTTCTACCCTCCTAGTTTTGTAACATCTGCAGACTCAATGAGGGTTCTACCCCCTTGGTCAGTGGATCATTTCACAATCCTGCAGCTCCACACAGAAGCCAGGTTCGAGACTGCAGCACCATAAGAACCTCACCACACAAAACTTTTTACTCTTTAGGAAGTTTGAGGAAGCTGCCTTATACCGAGTCAGATCATTGGGTCCATCTAGCTCAGTCCTATCTACACTGACTGGCAGCAGCTGTCCAGGATTTCGGGTGGGAGTCTCTCTCCATCCTGCCTGGATTAAGCCTGGGACCTTCTGCTTGCAAGGTTTTGGAGGCAGGTTGGGATGAGTAAGTGAGACAATTATTTACGTTTGCTTGAAGCATCTCTAGCCTGTCCTGGTTCTGCCACTGCATGCTTGCATCCAAGGCAACTTCAGAAACCATGTATTTAAATAGGCCATTTCCCTTCTTTTTCTCTGCCTCAACTGCAGTTGCTATTTTTTAGTGAGCAATTTTGCAAAACAACAACAACAACCCACAACAACCTGGAAAAATCCCTTGACATTCTAGAGTGTTTACTATCTCTTGACATTCCAGAGTGATTCATTCAGTCCCCTCTGGTCTTGGAGTCCTCCCTGCCTTCTTCAAGAGCTCCCAGCAACATTCCTCTAGGTGCCTCCAGTCGGATATTGTTTCCTTTGCCTGTTTGCATTTCTTCAGCCGTGAGCCAAGAGAGTTGCTCGCTCTGCTCCTCCTTTGTTCAAGCAAACAGCCCTTCCACTTTCCTCCAGGGATCAAAGGAAAATATAGCCGCTGCCCTCCCCTGCAAAATGTGTTGCAAGCCATGGGGGGCGGGGGGGAGAGAGAGAGAGAGTAGCAACTGGGGATTCTTTAGCTGTGATTCCTGCATTGCAGGGGGCTGGACTACATGACCCTTTGGGTACCTTCCAACTCTACGACTCTGAGATTCAAGATGCAGCTGCAAAATGCATTTATAGGCAACCGTCCAATGAACCTGCTGGGGAAATGATGCGGGATGCTGGTGGTGGCAACTTATGGACAGCAGGAAGCGGGGCTTGAAAAGGAGTGGACAAATGCCTGCAGAAGATTACTAGCTCCAGAGTATCTGCCATGGCAGCAAAGTGCAGCCTTTCCCAACCAGCTGCCCTCTGGATGTTCCGAACTGCAACTCCCATCAGCCGCAGCATCTCACAGCCCCGCTGACTGGGGCTGGTGGGAGGTGTCAAATACCCAGAGGGCAACAGGCTGAGGAAGTCTGGCTAAGTGAAACCACCACAGCCAGGAGCAGTCTACCCCTGAGTACCAGTTGCTGGAGGGCAAACAGCAGGAGGGGCAGCCGTTGTCCCCATGCCCTTTGCCTGGGCTTTCCAGCAGCGCCTGGCTGACCCTTGGAAGCAAAAGGCTGAATCTGGTAGACACACCTTGATGTGATTTTCTTGCAATGGCAACCAGAAACCATTCTGTCCTGCAGTTTCAACATGACAGCAAGTGGATTCGTATTGGCAAATCTGTAGGAGACGGGCTTATCCATGGCTGTGGGCAAGAATAGCAAAATGGAGGCGCCATCTCTCTCCCAAAGGAAACATTCAGCGTAATACATAATACTTTCCCACCGTATGTTGAACTTATTTTCTCCCTCCCTTAATTAACGGTAACCAAGAAACTACTTCCAGAAAGAGGTCCCTGGAGTAGAAGAACTAGTAATTAAGCCTGGAAAACATGAGATGGATATGATGAGAAGTTGGTGATTATTTATTTATTTGTGTGTAGCCATTTCCATATGACTTAAAGCAATTTACAGACATAACATACAAACAGCTGAAATAGCTTTAAAGAGAACAAGAAGCAACTGAGGGGTTTGAAAACAATACAAAATGTGCACCAAAGGCTGAGAAGAGACATTTTCATTTAACTGGATAAAAACATCTTCCTTGGTTTCTGTAAAGTCCTGATAGTGTGTGCCTGGCATATCTCAACGGGGGATGCTGTTCCACAAGAGGGGCCATCACATTGAAAGCCCTGCTCTGCATTCCTGTGGAGAAGGCAGAGATAGTTTGGGGACTTTAAGCAGAAATTCTTCTGCAGAAAACAGTGGCCTCTTAGGTATTATTTATTATTTATTGAATTTATATACCACCCTATACCTGGAGGTCTCAGGTTTAGAAAGAATAACACAGTGAACATACTGATACATACATTTATATGTAGCCCATAAATGAAGAGATATAAAAAAGAGAGTTCAAAAGGATATCGGTAGGAGAATCTACTTTTTCAGCCTGTATTAAGAAAGTGTCAAGAAGTTTGTGTAGGCAAACTCAGCCTTGAGCCAAACTGAGCGAAAGCAGGCACTGAATTCTTCCAATTTAGGTATGCTTTTCCTCTGAGAATGTAACTTAATTTCTGAGCATGGGTAAAGCTAAAGCAAGGGAATGCTTCTATATAAGCCTGTGCAATTGATAGTCCTGTGGACGCCCCAACAGCTGCTGTTATTCTGACCAAATAAAAAGCTGTCTTAAACATTGCAACTGGAGTGGGTAATTGAAGAAAATCCACATCAGCATTTTCTCAAGAGATGCCAGCAGAAGGACCTTAGCTCATTAGCTTTGCATGAAGCAGTAGTGTAGGGGGGCAGTGGCCCCAAGTGCAAAATTATGAGAGGGGCGCAACCAGGCTCCCTGCTGTCTTCCGAAGCTGTGGGGAGGCAAGCCACACCTGGGCTGCGCCTTTGCACTTCGGGGCTGGGGTGGTGCCTCCTTCTCCTCAGACACCCACATGTACGAGGGCTCACCTGGTCTGTGAGGTGGCAAGGATGGAAGTGGAGGGGTCTTGGGGAGTGTTGGGCGCAGTGGCTGAGGCTCAGGCCAGGGGGGAGATTGCGCCTGTGGAGGGGGAGGGCAGCAGCAGCACCCCCTTGGAGGAGGAAGAGGAAGGCGGGAAAGCGCCCAAGGGAGGAAGCCCCCTCCCAGTGCACGTCTCCCCTCAGCTGCCCTGTCCACCAGGGGGCACAACACTTGTCCCACCCCGGGTGCTGCAACCCACGCTATGCCACTGGCATGCAGAAAGCCCCAGTTTCAGTCGTAGGACTCAGAATGCCCTCTGCCCGAGACTCTGAGAAACTGCTGCCAGTCAATGTATACAATACAGAACTAGTTGGTCCAATTGTCTGACAGACTATATAAATCATCTTCCTGTAAGGAAGAGTCCAGCTAGGAGTGTCCAGTGTCACAAGAGCAGGACACTCCTCTGCCAAACTGCTTCCTTCCTCTCCAGACTCCAGTGTCCCGTCCCCCCCGGACTAGTGCCCTTCTCCGTGCTCCAACTCCATCACCCAGGTCCAACTCCCTGAGCTCCTCAGGATCTGACCACCCTCTTCATGACATCTCCTGGGACCTGCGGCACCTGCCCATTTCTTTCTTTTCTTTAAAAATATAAGAAGGGTGGACTTTGGTGACCTTCTGGGCAAAAAAAAGGAAAGCTGATATTCAAAGAATGCCTGACCACCACCGCTGTGTCAAAGCTCTTGGATAATGTTTTCACTTAAATGGCCCAGAGGAGGCCGAGTAGACCCTAATCTTTGCCCTTTACTTAATTCTTATCTAGAAGATAAGGTTCACCATTTTATGGCTGTATCCAGCACTTGACACAAACATAATTTCTTTGAAGGAGGAAACCCAAGGACAAGGGGGGGGGCGTTAAATCTTTGCTCTACCATAACCTCTGACAATGTGACCACCCACGTTCTATCTGTCGGGAAGAGCACCTGCTGTTCAAAACTGGCCACTATCCCACTGGAGTGCGCCAAGAGAGGGGAGGTCCTTTCCTGTTAAATATTAGGCAAGGAAGCACCAATGGAAGACCTCCTTCTGTCTTCAAAGCCTTTTAAACACAGTGGTACCTCAGGTTACAAACTTAAACTGTTCCGGAGGTCCGTTCTTAACCCGAAACCGTTCTTAACCTGAGGTACCACTTTAGCTAATGGGGCCTCCCGCTGCTGCTGCGCAATTTCAGTTCTCATCCTGGGGCAAAGTTCTCAACCTGAGGTACTATTTCCGGGTTAGTGGAGTTTGTAACCTGAAGTGTTTGTAACCCAAGGTTGCATCTGTATCAGACTTGAGATTGTTTTATAGGTTCTATTAATCCTAGAATTGCAGAGTTGGAAAGTTCCCCAAAGGGTCATCGAGTCTAACCCTCTGCAGTGCAAGAAACCAGGGAGGAAGCCGGGAATTGGGGCGGGGGAGGGGCAGGAAACCCTCCTGTCACCATCCTCTCCCTGGCTCTGTCCAGCAGATTCGGAATGAAATGTCTCGACAACATTTGTTTTAAATTACTTTCTTTTGACCCCAATTGCTCAGAAAAATCTGTCAAAATCTTTCATAATTGGAAGACCAGGAAGTTAAATAAAAAACTAAAACCAGGCAGTACCTTTCATGCAGTTAATGAGTATATTTTGCAAAATTATGAAGAATGTGCCATTTCCCATCTTATTTTAAAAAAAATCTAAACTAAAGGGTTTGGGGGGGGGGATTTGCTGAAAACCTTTCCAGCATTTCCTTCCCAAATTCCTCCTCTTTTCCAATGCAGTTTTTCTGCGCACACTCAGTACGCAGAGCCAGTGGCGTAGCGTGGGGGGTGCAGGGGGGGCCAGCCGCACCGGGCGCAACATCTGGGGTTAGGGAAAATCCACAGGTTAGGGGGCGCAAATCCACGGATTAGGGGGCGCAAATTACTTGCCTTGCCCCGGGTGCTGACAACCCACGCTACGCCACTGCGCAGAGCCCATTGAGATGCTCCCCTCTCATCATCAACCTTAGCCAGGTCTTTACTCTCCACAAGGTACTGACTGACTGCTCTTTGGTACTACAAGTGTCGCATGGCTGATCAAGAGAGATGAGCAGAGCCTTTTTCGTGCTAGGGGAAAAGATTTTCACCTCTTTTACTAGGTCTGCTATGTTCCTTATGATTATTCCTAAGTGATATCCCTATTGGAATTCATGTTGCCATTAATCACTTTGGGATGTTTCGCGGAAAGCAATTCATAACTTTTTAAAATGTATTTATTCCATTTATATCGCACGTCTCCCCCTGGGAGCTCAAGGTCTCCCCTCTTCATTTTGTCCTCACAACGACCCTGTGAGGTAGGTTCAGCTGAGAGATTGTGCCTGGCCCCCATCCCGTGAGCTTCCAGGCTCTGTGGAGATAAGTGAAGTAAATAGAAAAGTGCTCCCTCCAACGTGGGGAAAAAGCTGGGCTGTCCAGGCTGCCCCAGCGGGGTTTGGGCGAAGTCATGATTGTGACTGTGTGAACTGCACACCTGAGCTGAGCTCATATTTCTCTCTCTGCTGGGAAAATGTTCGCCTGCTTTTTTCTGGAGCTTGACCCTCTCTTAAAGGCGCAGGACAGGCTCCCTCCGAATCAGCCGGCAGGCCTGGCCACGCACAATTGCCCTGTCCACAGTCCAACTGTCTCAGAGCAGGTTTCTCGTCCTTATAGGCTTTTGTGCGGGGTGGGGCACAAATCCCTCTGCAGGACCATGCGCAGCACAGAAAGGACCCCGTCAGCATCCGCTGCGCCCCCCCCCAGTCCCCCCCCAGGGAGAAGAGGCGCGTGCAGGTCGGCATGCCTGAGAGATGCGATGAGCTGAGAGAATCGGAGAGGCGCGTTTGCCCAGAGATGTCCTACTCCGGCTGAAACAAAGGCAGTTATATAAGCCCTTGCAACAGTTAAGCGCACTCCTAGCATGGACAACGCGCTGCTGCCCCCTAAGGTGCGATCTGCTCAAAATGCAGCTGCAGCACCAAGCAGAAACCTGGCTAGGGCCACGATGTGGGGAGGCGTCTCAGAAGGTGCCTCTTCTGCCGCTCTTTCTCAGGGAGAATCTCTGGGGGGCTTGCTTTCCCCGCCACTGAAGCAGCATGGCTGGGGCGCTCTCCCATTGTCCCTGGCAAAGGCCTGCCATTCAGCCAGCCAACCCTCCCAGCTGCCATCGCCTCCCCAGAAGGACAGGTCAGACTTTGCCCACCTAGTGCCCCCCCAGATGTTGGGCTACAACATCTGGGGCTGACAGAAGTTGCAGCTGATGTTGAGGCAGCTCACTGCATTCTAGCTCAGCTCACATCTGTGGGTCGCAGCAAAGGCTATATTGCGCCCCAGCAACAGAAGCAACAACCCAGGGGGCAAAGCTGGTGGGGGCAAAGCTAGAAGAGGCTACCTGAAGTCTCCTGGTCCTTTAACAGAGAAAGCCTCAGGTGTGGTTATTCCCAACACAGGTTTTCAGTGATTTGGAAGCCTTCATTAGGGCAAGCAGGCAATCACCTGAGATATCCTGGACTGGGCTGAGGGAAAGAGGGAGCCAAGGGGTCTGCTGGTCTCTTCAAGTCTGTAAGTACAGGGTCCACTTCAGGGTTTCCTAATGCCTAGCAGTGGTGGTAAAGTACTTGTCGACTTCTCTTGAAGTATGTAATACTAATACTAATAATAATAATAATAGTATTTTATTATTTGTACCCCGCCCATCTGGCTGGGTTTCCCCAGCCACTCTGCAGGCCAAGACTCAGCAACAGAGAAAGGAGATGTTATTATTGTTTAGCTGGTAGTTAGGATTTAGAGAGAGACTGGCCCCATCTATGTGTTTATTCTGTGCCCTTTGTTAAGCTCTTGCAAGAATGTGCAATTGTAATGAAAATTATTTAAAATGGAGCAACACCACAGGCCAGCCAAAGATTAAGATTGATAGAGAAGACCTTCCTGCAACTCTTGCGGGGGGGTTTAAGAGTGCCTTCCCAGTAAGACTCCCTCTCCAGAGAGGTGGGGGGTACTTTTTCTTTACAGCTTCCATTGGCTGCTCAAACTGCACCTTTTGAAAACTGAAGAATTGTATTTTGGTGTTCTCCCTGTAATGTGTAGTATGGAATTACTGTTTTAGGGCTAGAGTGTGGAATTTTGTTTAACTGTTTTAACTGTGTCCTATACCTGGGACTTTTCTGGGGTAGGGAAGGTATCAGTACAAGAAGAAACCAGCAGAGAGAAGCAGGCTGGATGTAAAAGTCTGGGAAACTGAGAAAGTCTTTGGCACTGATGGGACACCCAAGTAGTAGTTTTCCTTCCTTCCTTCCTTCCTTCCTTCCTTCCTTCCTTCCTAATGGTGGAACTCATGGACATCTAGTGATGCTGATGGTTGCAAGATGCAGGACAGTTAAAAGGAAGTCTTCCTTCACTCAGTGCACGGTCAAACTATGGAACAGGCACCCACAAGAGACAGTGATGGCCACCAATCTAGATGGCTTTAAAAGAAGATTAGTCAGATTCATGGAGGGCTATTGATGGCTGCCAGCCATGATGTCTATGCTGTGCCTCCACAGTTCCTGCTGTTGACAGAAATGCTTCTGAACACCAGTGGAAACCACAGGAGGGGAGGGTGGTCTTGCATTCAGATCCTGCCTGCTGGTTTCCCACAAGCATCTGGTGGGAAAGTCTTTATCAGGTGAAGTTGAGGGGCCACCACTGAGAAGCCTCATTCTGTGGTAGAAGTCATGCAGATGGGCAATCTAAGGGGAGACCCTCTTTGTAGATGGCATTGCTTCACGTCTTTCAAACACCAGTGTGCCAATTCTGCTGCATTTAGGGGCACTCCTGCCGAGTGAAGCCACAAACTTCTGCCTTGAAGTGTGGCCCAAGCAGCACTATTGCCACTTGTCATGGCTAGGGCATGTTGAATTTTTCAGCTTTCAAATCCTCAGAATGAGGGGTGCTAAAAAGTTGGAACATGACTTGAGAACTCAAAAGATATTTTGATTAAATTAATATAATTTAGTTTTGCTTAGTAAATGCGTAAAATTACATAGAAATGATTAAAAATGATTGCAAATTACTTGCAGCTATATTCTATATTATTTTGATTTATTTATTATTATTTAGTATTACCTGACATTTTCAGAATGTAAAATTATAATTATAATTCTTTGGTTTTCTGAAAGCAGTTGATGTGCTTCTTCATCAAATGTAGAACTTACCAAGCTAAATGTTGCCCAATCACAAAAATTATAGCAGATTTTGATTCCTCACACCCCAAAGCATATTTTTAAGACCACACCTCATGCAGTTTGGAGACCCTGCACAATGTGTTCTGTTGAAGATCTTCATGTGTGGGAAAGTGGTCCAAAGCTTTAAAGGTCAAAATCTACACTTTGCATAGAGCCCAGAAATGAACTGGGATCTGATGCAGTTGGCATAGTGTTAGTGCCGTAGACTCATAATGCCTGGCCCCAACTTGACACCCTTGCAGGTGTCCTTTGGCCTAAAGTTCAGTTTCTGAACCATCTTAAAGAACAGCCCCATGTACCCCACATTACAGCAGTCTAGCCAGAGTATGAATGACTGATGCCAGGCTACCTCTGTCCAGGAATCACAGCTGGCAGTAAAAGGAATTGGTTGCACATGGGCAATCTGTGCCGCCAGTAACATAGGTCAGTGGTTCCCAAAGTGGATGGGGAGGATTACGGGGGGGGGGGGTGATGCTAAGAAGCAAGGGGGCAGCGTGGGGGCGCTGGAGGTGTAAATAACTACCAGACTTTGAAAAGCTGGTATCGTTGGGTCAAGTTCATCACTTTTCTTGAATTAATTAAACTAAACAGTTTTAATTGGATTTTGAATAAATATGCAATTAATTGTTACTCCTTTGAATGTTACTATGCTAATATCTTCTTAGTGGGTCAGGAAAACCACTGTTCTTAATAATGCTTTTTAAAGAGTATGGTGCACTGGGGGTGAGTCTATGGAACCAAGGGGGCAGGGGCCCCCAGAGGTTTGAGAACTTCTGACATAAATGGTCCCAGGATGGACACACACACCAGATTCCAAACATGGGAGTGCAGCCCTGCCGACGAAACCTCAACGGGCAGTTTCCTCCCTATATGTTAAGAAGGGATTAGTTAGTGCCCTGTGTGAGCTCAATATATCAGTAAGTTTTCAACCAGTGTGCTGTGGCACCGTGGGGTGCCTTGAATGATAGTCTGGGGTGCCACGGGCAACACTGGCCTCTGTCCCCCTTTCCTTCCCTCCCTCCTTTGATTCCCTCTCACATCTCTGCCTCCCAAAGGCTTGCACAGCTGTTTGTTGCAGCAGCCCTGGCTACAAGCTCCCCAGGCGAATGGTGCCTCTGGGGCTGGCCAGGGGGTGCTTGCCAGGCCCCTGTGGGGCAGTGTGAGGAGGCACCTCTCTTTTGGATGGGGTAGGGGTGGGGCGTGGGGAGCTGCTAAGAGGCCAAGGGGCGGCAGCAGTGACTGCCGAGAGGACTCTTAAGGAGAGGAGGCTGAGGGAACACTCCATAAGGGAAGGTGTTCGAAAAAGGGTGAGATGCTGCCAGCTCGGCAGGCATGGGGTGACATAACTGGACTCCTGAGCCCCACAGGGGAGCTACAGAAAGAAGGTAGTTGGTTAAGGGAGCCGTGGGCCCCAAAAGCTTGAAAACCTCTGCACTATATAAATACTGAAGGGTTGAGCAGCAGTCTCCTAGTGACACCTTCAGGAGCTTGTCATTCACTGCAGAAACAGGACCACTGAAAGGCAGCGTTCCCTGCATCCAAGTCACAGCTCGTCCAGACTTCCTTTGGTGACACACTTCTAGGTGCCGGTCCAGCCTTTAAAACTCCATGTTTGAGCATTCGGGGGGGGGGTGTCCCTGAACTTTGCCCAGTTAAACCTGTGTTTTGCTGCTGAATCAGAGCAAACAGCAATAAGGTTTTCCGTGGATTGCCATTAACTCAAATTAGGTGGTGAAATTCAGATGTTCCTGTGGAAAGCGCTGCTGCAACAACAGCAAAACTGCTTGGACACGAGGCTTTAAAGCCTGGACAGCACAGCGCAAAAGGAAGTCTGGATGAGCCCCCAGACTCTTATCCTGGAAGACACCAGGAGATCCATCTGGTCAGACCAGCCTCTGGGGCTGGTCAGACTCAGGGGTCAGCAATGAGATGCATTTTAAATAAAAGGACACATTCTACTCATGTAAAAACATGATTCCCGGACCGTCCGCAGGCAGGATTTAGAAGGCGACTGGGCTGGATCTGGCCCCCGGGCCTTAGTTTGCCTACCCATGGACTAGCTGAATCCCTCTCCTAACACTCATCATCTCTGGAGCCTAACTGCAATGGGCCAAGATCGGCTTTCCTGGGCCTGCTGCAACCCTCACCAACCACAGCCAGCACAATGGGGGGGGGGAGAAGACCCCCCCGCCCCCGCCCAGCCTTTTCCCCTCCATTCTGAATGTTCATAGGCTTTCTTCTTCCTCTTCTGTCTCTCTTCTTCAGAGCAGAAAAAGAATACGCAGCAGAGGTGTGGGTGTGGAACACCTACCCATGTAAACATGGATGATTTATCTTTATTACTCGGCACTTGTTGGTTTGAACTGGTTTGGATTTAAACACTTGTTGAACTCATTAGCAAAAACAGAGCTAATGTGTTTTTTTTTAATAGCTTTAGTTGAGCTAAGTTCATTTTAATTAACAGAGAGAAGAGATAAGGCCAATCATTTCGTGCAGCTAACAAATACATTGGTTAGATGCCTCAATGATGAAATTAAAAAGGTTGGCGTGAATAAAGCAGCCTTATCTGACAAGTTGACAATAAGGGAAAGCTGCATTTAAGAATTTATAATAAAGAGCCAGTGTGCTATATTGGTTCGAGTGTAGAACTAGGGCCTGGGAGACCAAGATTCAAATCCTCAGTAAGCCATGGTACAGCTCACTGGGTGACTTTGGGCCAGTCACTGTTGTGAGGATTAAAGGAGAAGGGGGTGAAACATGTATATGCCACCTTGAGCTCCTTGGAGAAAAACATGGAATGTAAATGCAATAAATGAATATATACAGTGGTACCTCGCAAGACGAATGCCTCGCAAGACAAAAAACTCGCTAGACGAAAGGGTTTTCCGTTTTTTGAGCTGCTTCGCAAGACGATTTTCCCTATGGGCTTGCTTTGCAAGACGGAAACGCCTTGCAAGTTTGTTTCCTTTTTCTTAACACCGTTAATACGGTTGCGACTTGACTTCGAGGAGCAACTCATAGAACGCGGTGTGGTAGCCTTTTTTGAGGTTTTTAAAGACTTTAGTGATTTTTGAAGCTTTTCCAAAACTTTCCCGACACCATGCTTCGCAAGACGAAAAAAATCGCAAGACGACAAAACTCGCGGAACGAATTAATTTCGTCTTGCGAGGCACCACTGTATAAACAATATAGCTGGTCGCTAGGGATGGAAGGGTCAAGTTTGGTTCTGTCAGAGTCTCATTTTTCCATTCTTAAATTTGGTTCTCCATATTTCTGCAATTTCAGAGTTATTCCCGCCCCCCGAAAAATAGCCCCCTGAAACTTCATCAGCATTTCACTGCAAATTTGTCCTAATCAGCACATGTTTGGATGCAGCTTTGCATACAAACTAATGCACATTTTTTTTAAAAAAAACCATTCCTCCTAATATATTCACATTTGGTTTGTTCTGACAAATATATTTGTATGCGGACTTTCCCCTAATTTGTGTGTTTTCATAAATGTTTTTTTGGCTGGAGAACTGCATTGCAAAATGTGGAAAAGTGCAAATTCCAAAAGTTAGCTGTGTTTTGGTTCTCTTTTTTTAAAGTGTGGATTAAGTGCTGCAACTTTCTCCTCCATCCCTGGCTGGTCCCCCCTCCCTGAAATGTGGCAAGGTGGGTTTTACCTGCAGCTGGTGACTCTCTTGCCATGACCAGGCTGCTCCTGATGCTCATCAGCTCTGCTTTGTCATATCCAGGGTGTGAGGATGGCGATGCAAGAAACGCAGCAGCTGCCTCAGCTTGCCCCGGCACCTTCCGCTGTGATCCTGGGTGAGATGCTGAATGAACACTTTGGCCCCATGCCTGTCAAGGCCCCCATCACCCGAATGAAGAAGAAGTCCTCTGGTGTCTACCTTCCCACGGTGAACCAGGATCAGGTCCTGGGAAGGAGGCAAGCAGCGAACGCTAAAGAGAGAGAGAGGGTAAGCAGACACAGAGACTGAGGTTTGAGAGTGAGCCCTATTGAACACACAATAGAATTTAATTCCAAGGAGCTGTCCACTGTATGAAGCCACAAGAGTTTCTGACCTCCTAGTTACAGAATAATAGGATAGTAGAGTTGTGCCATCTAGTCCAGGCTCCTGCAATGCAAGAATCCTGCCCAAAGCTGTCCCCAGGTGGGCTCAGACCACCAACCTTCTGGTTAACCCATTGCACCACCTGCAGGAATCTCAACTAAAGCATCCATGACAGGTGGCCATCTAACCTCTGCTTAAAAACCACCAATGAAGGAGAGTCCACCGACCTTCCAAGGAGGTCCATTCCACTGTCAAAGAGCCTCTTCCCCTCAGAAAATTCTTCCTAACGTTTTGCCGGAATCTCCTTCCTTGCCATTTGAATCCATTGGTTCAGTCCTCCTCTCTGGAGGAGGAAACAAGCTTGCCCCTCAGATATTTGAAGGTGGCTCTCATAAATGGAAACAGGGGCTGGATGAACTGGTGGAAGGAGGAGCCTGGGGAAGTGGGTGGGGGTTGACTCTGAAGGGAAACACCTGCCAGCTGACAGCCTTCCCCCTTCTGGCCTTCCAGACGCCTTGGACTACAGCTTCTATCAGCACCAGCCAGTCTGGTCATACGAAGCTGTGGCTGATGGAAACATGTCAGTTCTGGCTGGGGCTCATGGGAGTTGTATTCCCAGACACCAGGAAAGCAGCCGGTTGGGGAAAGGCTGTCCAGAACATCATGCTAAGAAAATCCTGGTCATGACAAGCATAAGGAAACCTGCTAATGATTGCAAAATACTTCCTGCTCTCTAGTCTTTTCTTTAGTTTTGTTCAAGCAATTGGTGGGGTAACAATGTGAAACACACTTTACCCTCTGAGGTGGTCAAAGGCTGAGTCAGAGTTGGATGTGAATGTGCTGGTACAAGCAAATGCCAACGTTGACAAGTAAATGAGTGCGAAAACAGGTCATTTACTGATGGGTTTTTGGAGATGTGCAGGTGAATTTCAGGAATTACTGGATCCTGGGGACAGATTTTCAATATTTACTCTGAGTACATGGTAAAAGGCATTCTTCAGTGTTAAATTGTGGAAATGAGGATGACATTGGGCTCAAAATGTGCCAGGAAATGGGGGAAGTGCCCAAATTTTCTGACTTTTCCCAATAGCCTCCCCATAGATTAAGAACTACCGGTAAATGCCAACATTTGCCGTACCCCAGATAGATGGTCATTGAAGCCTTGCAAGCTGTATGGAGTGGTCATTGCATTTTACAAGTTGATTCCTTGGGGCTTCGTAGGGAAAGAGATGTTCTTTTTCTGTACCCAGATGGCCATTCCTCAGTTGCCACCAGCCAACGCTTCCTGGAATATTTTGTCTTCTGGGGGAAGGACTGTTTCCTTCTGCCAATTCCTCCAGGAAAGCTGTCAGGACACAGCAATAAAATAGCTTTTATTCTCTTAGAGAGCATTCTTATCAGAAAATCAGCCATTGCTAACTGTTTACTCTAGATAGCTTGGGTAAACTTTGAGGTTAGTTCAGCAACCTGGTTGCATCAGACTTTGGCAGAAGGCAAATGGCAATAGCTTTTGGGGAGTTGAAGGGAGGCTGAAAGAGGCTCATAATGTCATACTCATTCCACTTCTGTCTCTGGCAGGTATTTGTGTTGTGTCAAAAATTAAAGACAAAACCAAGGCAAAATCTATTTAATTAAAGACAAAAACAGGGGGGGTGCGCATGCACACGTGCAAAGAGTTGTTTTAAACTGTGTTTTAATTGTTGTAACTGTTCTGGGGCCTTAGAGTGAATAGCAGGTAATTAGAATACTAGAATTGCAGAGTTGGAGGGGATTCCAAGGGTCATCTATTCCAACCCCCTGCAATGCAGGAATCACAGCTAAATAATCCTAGACAGGTGGCCATCCGACCTCTATTTAAAAACATCAAATGGAGACACTACCCAGTGGCGTAGCGTGGGGGGTGCAGGGGGGGCCGGCCGCACCAGGCGCAACATCTGGGGTTAGGGCAAATCCACGGGTTAGGGGGCACAAATCCACAGGTTAGGGGGCGCAAATTACTTGCCTTGCCCCGGGTGCTGACAACCCACGCTACGCCACTGACACTACCTTCCACTCTCGAACAGCTCTTACTGTCAGAAAGTTATTCCTAATACTGTAATGACCATAGTAATGTGAAGTGAAACCTCTCCCAAACCACTTTCATCTCTCTTAAAAACTCTGCTGTCGTAAGTGTTGTTTGACATCCCCAAAGCTGCAGCAATTACAGCAACAGCAACAGGATTATTAAGCATATGGCAAAACTGGAGTTTGAATCTCTGTCCCTCTGCCCTCAGGCCAAATCTTGAAAGTAAACAGGGGTGCCTATTGTGGGCCTCCAGGTGCTTTTGAGGCTCCATCTCTCATCACCCCGATGGTTGGCCAAGTTGGGCTGGTGCTGATGGAAGTCAGCCCAGCATCTGGAGAGCCACAGGTTAGCCACCCCAATATCATCTCCAATTAGCAGGCAGCCAAAGTGAAGAAAATGAGTCATAATTTGGTTTCATGAACAGGTTAGTAAAAATGCACATCTGGAAGGACAGGTGATGGGAGGGAGGGGGAGCTCTTCCCAACTGCTCATCACAGGATGAGTGCAAAGGAAGGAAAAGTTTCTCCGGCTTGAAGGGCTCAGGAGACACTAATCTCTCGGCTTTAATTGCTTGCTTTTAAAAAAAAAACCCACACACAGATAAAGAACTTGAACAGTTGCTTTTCCAAGCTCAAAGCTATCGTGCCACTGATTCCGAAGGACCGGAAGCCCAGCAAAGTTGATATGCTTAAAGCCACTTCTGAATACATTCGCCTGTTGCGCTCAGTTTTGGAAGAAACTGGAGGGTGTGAGGTAGGAGCAAAACTAACTTTGCAACCCCCCCACCCCTGCTGAACTTCCTGTGATCCTCATTTGAGGCCCTTCTTCAAGGGTCCAGAGTGTGGCAACACGAGAACAAGCCTTTTCTGCGGTGACTCCCCATTTGTGGAAGGCTCTCCCCAGGGAGACTCACCTGGCACCATCATTTTATATCTTTAGGCGCCAAGCGAAAACTTTTCTCTGTAACCCAGGCCTTTGGCCTTTAACTATCTGTGGCCTTTTAGAAATGGGTGAGGTGTTTTAAAAACGTTTCTTTCCCCCCTTGGTTTTAATGTATCTGTGTGGGATGGGTAGATTTCCTTGGGCCAGATAAAGCAACAAAGAACCCTGCCACACGGTGCGGTCTGCTGAAGAACCTCCTGAGTTTGTTGCAAAACCCTGTGCTGTGTGGGTTCCAGGGCATCCCCTGGAATGCACCTGTGGAGCTTGGGCCCTGCTCACTGGGACACCTGTGGCACTTGAACTGCGGCTGCTTCCAAGCAGGTTACTGCAACCCTGTCCTTCCCTGGAAAGCTACAAGCAGAATTGCAACTGACTTTCCACAATGTGGGGTGATTGATTTGGGGTGGTGGAGGGTATACATCACACTACGTTTTGCCTAAATAAGTGGGTAGGGAAGGTATCTTCCCCACCCCCACCATCATTAATTTTTCCTTGAAATAAATAATTGAATTTGCACTAAAGCACTTATGAGGCAATAGCAAACTTTAGCCATACCTGGAATTGTACAGCGAATACATTACATTCACTGTGTTTATTATTCATCTATTTAATACTTTAATATCCCACCTGAGTTCAAAGTGACAGAGATGGTTCTCCCCCTCCTTATTTAATCCCTACAAAAAAACAGCTAATGCTCTGCCCATGAAATCATCCCAGCTCTTTCCCAAGCACCCCTTTCTTTGCAATTTTTCATATGTATGTGGTCATCCAAGCTGTCTCACTACTGATCTGTTTTCCTTTCTGCTTCCACAAGCTGAAAGATCCAGCAGGTCACGGTCCTTCTGGGCCCTCTTCAGTGCCAGCACCTCTAGAAAAGTGCTCGCCAGCCAGTCCCAAGCCCCAGAGACCCAACAACTGCATCAAGATGGAAAATGGGATGGAAGTGGTGTGGGCAAACCCAGTGGTGCAGAGCCCAATGTGGGCCTGGGAGGAAACACTTATTCCTACCTATGTGGGAATTTTGGAACTTCACACAACCGGATAGCAGGTTAGGTTTTCTCCAGGGCTTGGTTTTACCTTTTACCTTTTCAGTGGTTCCCAAAACAAAATTTTTTTTCCCTTCCAGTAGCACCTTAAAGACCAACTAAGTTAGTTCTTGGTATGAGCTTTCGTGTGCATGCACACTTCTTCAGATACACTGAAACAGAAGTTGCCAGATCCTTCTATATAGTGAGACTTTGGCTTTGTCACCTTCTCACCCCTTTTTCACCTTCTCACCCCTTGCTTTCCCCTGTAAGACCTATTGCAGTCGTTAAGAGTCGTCAACAGGCTCATCACAGCTATCTGCCAATCACCCATTCCCACCACCCTTCTGAGTAATACCCCTCCCCACCTTCTCACTATATAGAAGGATCTGGCAACTTCTGTTTCAGTGTATCTGAAGAAGTGTGCATGCACACGAAAGCTCATACCAAGAACTAACTTAGTTGGTCTTTAAGGTGCTACTGGAAGGGAAAAAAAATTTGTTTTGACTTTACCTATCTGTAAGTGGTTCCCAAAGTTCGCAATGCCGCCCTCTGTGGGGCTGTGGGATTCGGGGGGGCACTAAGAGGCAAGGGGGCAGCAGGGGGCGCTGGAGATGTACCGGTAAATAACTTTGAAAGGCTAGTATTGCTGGATCAAATGCACAAATTTTGTGGAACTGGCTAAGCTAAACGGTTTTAATTGGATTTTGAATAAATGTGCAATTAATTGTTACTGTTTCGACTTTTATTGTGTTCAGCACCTGCTGAAAACATTCTTGTTTAGGCAAGATGCTACCCAGATGCTTATAAATGCCAATGTGAATTTTAATCTGTTTTCGTATTTTAAGTTTTTGTATGCTTTAAAGTATTGTAAATTTTTCTTGGTTTTATCATTTTTTCCTTTTTGTAAACTGCTTTGAGGTTGGTTGGTTGGTTGGCTGGTTGGTTTTTACAAGCAAATGGTGTATAAGTTTTATGAAATAAAACAAACAAATAAGATAAAGAGTAGCTCATGTACTTACCCGGGTAATCCTATGCCCCCCCTCTCCCGAGGCAGTAGTGCCCAATTTGGAAACAACTGATTTAAGATTATACATTTTATGTTGCTATTTTATTGCTATCCTTTACCTCCTGTTTTCATTTCATTCCAGTTTAATCCTTATCCTATTCTGCATGCTGCCTTCAGAATGCAGGATGGAAAATCAAGAGCGCAGGACTGGAATAAATCAGCAAAGACGCAGATGCACTTCCACACCTGCGAACAATTTGTCTTTCAGAGCCTCCTTTGGTGCAGATGGAGGATCAGCTCTTCAAGACGCAGCACTTACAGAAAGGAACCCAAACTAGGTGTTCTTGTTTGATGATTTTTCATTTGTTCCGTTTAAAATTAAATGAAATCTGCCACAATTATGACTCATGCTTTGCATCTTTGCAGTCTAGTCTTTGGACCAAAATTCGTTGTGGGGAGCAAAGAGCTTCACAGGGTAACTGAAAGCTTCCCCTAAATATAGGAGGGTGTTCTCGGGAAGGGTCAGTGCAAGAGAGAAGCCAAAGCAGGGAGTTTTGTTTGTTTGTTGCTCCATGGACCTGATCCTTATTAGGAACAGCCTCATGAGCTTATTTGACAGTGAAACACCCTACCTCAGAAGGCAGTGGAGGTTTCTGAACCTCACTGGAGGTTTTTAAGCAGATGTTGGATGACGGTTGTCTTCAGCTGAGATTCCTGTGTTGCAGGAGGTTCAACTTAGATGAGCCTTTAGGTCCCTTCCAATTGGGTCTACAATTCTATGATTCTAAGGTATGTACGTATGGCAATTTAAAGTGGATCCAATGAACCCCAGCCGGGGGGGGTGTGCTTGCATCATCCTCATCTAAATGGCAGCCCATACTTTCTTCCCCATTTAGTTTACCTTTTCCCGTTCTGCAGATAATGTGATAAGGGAAAATCGTGTTCCATGGGCAAGTGGGTTGGGTGACCAGGTTTTTTATTTGGGGGGGGGGCTTTATGTGTGTTGGGAAGTTTTGCTGTGTGCAATCTAGCTCCATGCCCTTCTCTTCCATTTTCGCATCACCTGAGCACAACCAAACCATTTTGTTTCCATCAGCCCCCAAAGAAAGGATGCACCGTGCTTATTCCTGGCATTTGCAGAGAAAGGCACATTTGCTGTAATTTATTTTTACTCTTAAAGCAGCTGTTTTGTACAGAACTGCTCTTCTGCAAAACTGCAGTGGTCAAAAAGAAAAATGGCCTTTGCAGGAAAAGTGGGGAAAGAGGAACGGCTAAGGGAGCTGGGCATGTTTAGCCTGAAGAAGAGGAGGTTAAGGGGTGATATGATAGCCATGTTCAAATATATAAAAGGATGTCATATAGAGGAGGGAGAAAGGTTGTTTTCTGCTGCTCCAGAGAAGTGGACACAGAGCAATGGATCCAAACTACAAGAAAGAAGATTCCACCTAAACATTAGGAAGAACTTCCTGACAGTAAGAGCTGTTCGACAGTGGAATTTGCTGCCAAGGAGTGTGGTGGAGTCTCCTTCTTTGGAGGTCTTTAAGCAGAGGCTTGACAACCATATGTCAGGAGTGCTCTGATGGTGTTTCCTGCTTGGCAGGGGGTTGGACTCGATGGCCCTTGTGGTCTATTCCAACTCTATGATTCTATTATTCTAACAGTCTCCATGTTTTGTGTCCCTGGGCCGTGTATGCTTAGAATCATGGAATTGTGGAGTTGGAAGAGACCCAAAGGGCCATTAGTCCAACCCCTTATGAGTGTGTGTGAAACGTACTGCTTATGCCCATCTCCGCAGCAGCTGTTTGCACCAACATGGCAGCGGTGCTGCTTCTGCAGGAGCTCTCAATGTCAGCGGCTGCCGAGGCACTTGGCGCATGGGGCAGGGAGAGAAGCAGCAGCCGTTGCTTCCACCAGCGGCTTCAGACCCAGTCACTGAACACTTCCACATGGCGGCTGGCACAGGACCAAGCTCAAGACACGCAACTCATCACAGTTGATGAAAAATTAGACTTTTCACCTTTAACAGGTATACCAGAGGAGCATATCATAACCAGAAAAGTTCACATTTTTGTTCCAGCCCGTGATGCCATGCAAGCTGGTGTTAACAATACCAAAAAAGGAAGATAGAATTTGGCACAAGGGAGCGCTGGGAAAACCCACTGATGGGCTGGGCATCTTCCGCGGATCCTCTGTCCAATGTGTTGATGACCTTTTTACGAAAGAAGCTGCTATAGCCTTTGCTGGGGGGGGGGGAATGGCTGGGGCTATGATGTTCAAGAGCAGAGGATTCCAAAACCTAAATCCAAGTCTTATAGTGCAAACTTTTCTTGGAACAAAAGACCAAGGGTGTCCACAAAACAGGTTGACATTGGCTGTCTCTGTGTCTGACGGTGAATAAAGTCAGCTGTGCTCCATTTATAGTCCATGTATAATACATCTCTTAAAAGGGACGCGGGTGGCGCTGTGGGTAAAAGCCTCAGTGCCTAGGGCTTGCCGATCGAAAGGTCGGTGGTTCGAATCCCCGCGGCGGGGTGCGCTCCCGTTGCTCGGTCCCAGCGCCTGCCAACCTAGCAGTTCGAAAGCAGTCTTAAGTGCAAGTAGATAAATAGGGACTGCTTACTAGCGGGAAGGTAAACGGTGTTTCCGTGTGCGGCTCTGGCTCGCTAGAGCAGCGATGTCACGTTGGCCACATGACCCGGAAGTGTCTCCGGACAGCGCTGGCCCCCGGCCTCTTGAGTGAGATGGGCGCACAACCCTAGAGTCTGTCAAGACTGGCCCGTACAGGCAGGGGTACCTTTACCTTTAATACATCTCTTAATCTCCTAATAAATTTGACCTTTAAAAATAAAATAAAAAAGTACTGTTTGTTATTCTCTGGGCCACACTGTGGCTTTCTGTGTTGGGGGGCAGGAGGAAGGTCTGGAGATCAGAGACTCCCCTGCCTTGCCCTGTCCGGTCATTCTTTGCCCTGGAGAAGGCTCTCTAGGGTGAGCTCTTGGTTCTGAACTTGGCAGGGCTGGTGCGTCATATGAACATCATTTTAAATGCTGCTCTGTGCAATATCAGTAAATTGAAAAACATGATTTCAAAAATGAATTTTAAAATTGTCTGTTTTCCCTACCATGAAACATGCATGAAGTTTTGGCTTTGGTAAAAGTTTGTTATTGAAATACTCTGTGAACAAAACCATTTATGAGAAAGGGGGAAAAACCAGGTGTGCATGCACAGGTAAACTAATCCTTGCATACCTGTCCATAATGGACATCTAGTTCCTGTAACTTCCAGAGGGCAAAGAAGTACTAACTGAGGATGGGGGGTGGGGGGGACAGACAACAACACATAGCATGGAGGCATCCCATCAAGCGCCACACACTAGTGTGGGAACATCAAGGCGGATTTCAATGGAAAGTCCTCAGAAGCAGAGAAATCAGAACTATGTGACACAGTTGTGCATTAGCCCCCTGGAGTGTGCACAGCCTCACACCCATACAGCAACAAGGAACACAACACAGAGTGGGATAACAGACTGTCACAATTTGCATGTGGGATTCCATCACATACCAGCAAATTCAGGTTGCCCAATTAGCGCAGAGGTTTTTTTTGCCATTTTTTCTGCTTCTTCCCCCTGCCCCAAAACTGTTTACAGGTCAAAAGCGATGGGAGAAACGCCTTTCTGCATATTACCTGTCCAGTAAGTGCAATAACCGGCAGTTGGTACTTCTAGGAGGCTGGAGAAGAGACTCACCATCATTGCCTTCTCCGACATTTGCCTTTTGCTGCTGTGTCAGCCTCCTCTGGGGAAAGGATATGGGAGCCAGCTGAACCGCATTTAAGCCAGGCTCCTTGGAGAGCGGCAAGAGCAGAAACTTCATCGTTGCTTAACTCTTGTTTTGCTCTGTGGTTATGTACTTAAGCCTGGATGATTGGGGGGTTTTGTGGGTGTGTTTGTAACGTTGAATTTATTCTGTGATTGCCAAATGGTTGATTTTTGTGATTTCTGAAATCACTGACTTGCTCTGCATTTTGTTTATTTGCATTTCTAGTGCTCTGCATTGTGATGTTTTGCATGTTTGCTGTAAGCCGCTCTGGGCGCAGCTCACTGTGGAAAAGCGGCATCTATCCGCACAGCAGAAAAACCCCGAATGAGCGCTCAATAAAGAATCAGTGTCGTGTAACCTCCCCGCGCACTCTAAGCATACAATCCAGTTACTTACTTCCATCAAGGATCTCATCGGGCTGGGCGAGATCGTTTCACAAAAACGTGACCCCTGATCGGCAGAGCTGGTCCTGGCTCCTTGCCTCTTCCCTCTCCCGCAGCCCCGCGTCCGAGGCTCCCGTCTCGCGGGCCACAGAGTGGCGCCCTGCTCCTCCCGCGCCAGCGCCAGATGCGCGCTACATTTCAAAGGCAGCATCTTCCCACATGCGCAACGAGGTCTGTAGATCGCCGCCGCAGCGCACCGACTCAGACCGTTGGGTCCCTCGACCCCGTGCTGCCTACAGAGACTGGCAGCGGCGGCTCTCCGGGATCTTGGACGGGCGTTTCTCTCCCCGCCCTACGTGGGGTGCCAAGCAGGTGCCCTTCCCCTGTCGACTCCTGAGCAGCAGCCTACTCCTACTCCTAAGTAACGCCATTAAAAACCAGTGCCGCGCAGCCATATAAAGGAGGGAGGCCAGCTCCATCGCCGGCTTCTTCTTCTCCTTCCAGCCCCTTAAAGGAGAGGGGCGCATCCTTCCGGCCCACCCGGCTGGGGGGCCTCCTGGTGCCAGCGGCCCATTGCGTCACCGCTCCTCCCTGCAGCAGAAGACGAGGCAGCGCGGCGGCTCGGGGGCCGAGGGACGCGGCGCCTCTGGCCGTGCGCGCAGCCGTCCGGAGGGGGGCGCTCGGGGCGCGGAGGGGAGCCGCCCTTTTGTCATCATCCGAAGCGGACGGGGCGAGGCGGGCAGGTTGCCTCCGCCGCCCGGTTGCTGGGTCTCGGGTCCCTTTTGGATGCTGCTGCTGCTGCCGCCGCCTCCTCCTCCCCCTGCCCGGCATCTTCCCCACCTCCCTGGGCGGATCTCTTTCTCCGCGGCGCGCAGAGCAGCGAAGGCGCCTAAGGAGACCAGGAGGAGGAGGCGCGAGGCGCGGCGAGGGACAGATCCGGAGATCGCAGGATGGGCTCCTCCGGTGGGCTCCTTTGACTGGGAGGAGGAGGAGGAGGAGAAGGGACCGCACTGCCGGGGAGGAAAGCGAATAACCGCCCCTGCAAGGAAGATGCGCTAAACGGGTAAGGAGGAGGCAAACCTTTCGGATTTCACCCGCACCTTCGACAAGTCGGCTTTCCACTTTATTGTCTCTGCTTCTGTTGTTGTTGTTTTTTTAAAGATATAGGTAAAACCAATTTGGTATGAATGTTTTCACCGGTGAATTTGTGGGTCGAAAGGTGCTCCCCACCCCATCTTGCAGCAAAAAGGAAAACCCCAATGGGCTGGGGTTGCTGCTGCTGCTGCTGTTTTTCGTGGGCTGCTTGCTCCCTTCGCCAGCACGCGAGTGAATTCCGAAGAGCCCAGGTGGTGTTTCTTGAGCTGGAAGCGGAATATAGGTGGGGATGGGGGGTGGAGGTTACTCTCTTGCACGGTTTGCATAAACCAGATTGGCCTGTTTTTGCAACAATTTTAAACCGACCGTGGCCAAAAGCCCTGTATGCTACAACGCAGCAGCAGCCCATTGGACAGAATTGGCTGCTGGTCATCTTAAAGTGCGGGCGTGTGTGTGTGTGTGTGTGTACACAGGTGTATTCTGGATACATTGATCCCTACAAATGAAAACCTTCTGATCTGGCTTTACATGCCATGGAGATTCTCTGGCGTTTGATCTCTGGGGATTCCTCTGGTTTCCTAGGCAGCGGGTTCACACATAGATACTTGGCAACAGAGGTGGGTCTTAGCTCTGCACTTTGAAGTGACTGGAAAATGCTGGGAAGTGTCCCTGTGGCGGCTGATACTCTGGGCCGGATCCAGGGTCCTCTTTGTGTCTGTGAGGTTCTCTTCCTCCACCTTGTGTGCGGTTAGGAAGGAGGGCGGGAGGGAGGACTCCTGAGCCACACTTAACCTGGGCTTGGCCTCATCCCTGCTGAATATTCATCTCTTTCTTTTGTTTCTTCACTGTCAAAGCAAGCTCCTCATCGGGCTGCTGCAGCCATGGCTCACCCAGTCTCCTCTTCCAGGAGGTCTCATGAGTCACAGCCCCTGCGAAATAAGCTGAACATGCTCAGTAGGTCTAAGGAGGAGAGAGAGTGTTGCAGCCCTGAGCTTCACTTTGAAAACAATCCTACTTCCCTTTCCCAACTACCAGGTCTGTGGTTGCTCTAGGCGCTGCTGTCTATCAACCAGGGTCAACCGTATTTTTATTTATTTATGCATTTATTGCATTTATATCCCAACTTTTTCATCCAAAAGTGCTCAAGGTGGCATATGTCGTTCTCCCCCTCCTCATTTAATCCTCACAACAACCCTGTGAGGCAGTGACTGGCCCCCAAGGTCACCCGGTGAGTAGGGATTTGAACCCCGGCCTCCCAAGTCTTAGTCTGACACTCGAACCACCATTCTTCACTGGCTCTTGTCAGTGCTCAAACTACAGAATTCTGTGATGAGACCCCGTAGTTCCTCCTTCAGAATGCTTTGAGGTGGGGGCATCCTTTCACCCCCTCCCTGTTTTCACGAGAATCTTTCCAGCCTCTTTCAACCTCTGTGGCTTTGGGCCTGGAGGACGAGGAGTGTCTGCTTTGTCGACTCAGGCGATGTTCTGCTGGTGGGCCATGTTTGAATTACAGGAGAGCAGAGCGGGATCCGGCTGTCCTCCTTAGCCACGGTTTTCAGAAGGCTGTGGGAGCGGCATGGTTTCACTCCAGTAGGAATGAGTCACAGATTGGGGCCCACGGATTGCAAGAACGATACCCTATTCTTTCGCATCTTCCCTGTAATTTGAGCATTGATTCTTCTCTTGGTATTTCACAGAGTAACAGAAGCAAAAAGGTAGGAAAGGGGAAGCCTCTGCCCCAAAGAGCTTACAAGCTAAGTACTGGGGCTAATGGGAGTCGCAGTCAAAAACATCTGGTGGGCATGATGAGACATCAGTAATGTAAAGCATTCATCCTGGCTTCCTGCCCAAAGAATCCTGGGAGCTAAGAGTGGTTAGGCGACACTTAGCAAACTAGGCTTCCCAGGTTACATTATGGGGGAAGCCATTTCTCATAGGGCAGATTCACAACGTGCATTTAAAGCACAGGACTTCTAGGGCTGGGTGATATGTCGCTATATCATCCGATTTTCGGTGTCTGCGTCTGTGCAGACACGATTTCCGGTGCCGCAGAAACGAGTCCGCGCACCGCGCTGTGCCGGTTTAGTGCAGCATGCGGGGACTCGCCAAGCAAGCGACTCAGTTTGAGGGCGGCTCGTGGGCCAGTTAAACGACCCCCATGGGCCACTTGTGGCCCATGCGCCTTAGGTTACCAACCCCTGGTTTATGCTATGCAAATATAATGATGCAGGAAAAACCGTGAAGCCACCAGTGCCTCTACATAGCTCCATCCTTATTTCAGACATCACTGAAAACCAGATTTGACTTCCCACAAAGTATCCTGGGAACTGTAGTTTGTTAAGAATGCTGGGAATTGTGTGTTTATGAGGGGGAACAACAGTTCCCAGTGTTATTTGGGGAAGTCATGTGCATTAAATCTATGTTGGGTATGCTTTAAATCTAGGCTGTGGCTTTGACCAAAGTCTGCTAAATACCTCTTCAAGCATGTCAATGTTTTATCAGGCTAAATTACTGTGGGTGGGCCTGATTCCCTTCACAGGGTGAAGGGAGTTAACCCTTTTTCTGCTTACTACCATCCCCCTTCCCCAACTCTGTTTGCGGCAGGAGGGAAGTCTCTGTGGGTGTCAATGGGATCACTCTCCCTCGACTAACAGCAGCATTCAGGAGAAAGTCCTCATTGCGGGTGTGGGATCAGAGGAAAGTGTTTACTGCCTCTCCCTGCACGCTGCAGACCCAACCCCAACATACAGTGGTACCTCTGGTTGTGAACTTAATTTGTTCCGGAGGTCTGTTCTTAACCTGAAACCGTTCTTAACCTGAGGTACCACTTTAGCTAATGGGGCCTCCCGCTGCTGCTGCCGCACCACCACTGCGCGATTTCTGTTCTCATCCTGAGGTAAAGTTCTTAACCTGAGGTACTACTTCCGGGTTAACGGAGTCTGTATCCCGAAGTGTTTGTAACCCAAGGTGTTTATAACCCAAGGTACCACTGTAGTGGGTTTGGGGTGGGAGTGAGGCACCTACAGCTGCTGCTTATAGTTGTAAAAAGAGACCCTGCCCTTGAACCATTAAGCATCATGTCACGTTTAGCTGCAAATTCTGACAGCGCAGGCAACTGTGAGTCAAAGGTAACCCGCAATAGAATGGGAGCCAATGCCGTTGCATGTACTATCCCTGTGCCTGTCTGTCTCTGTTAGGCATGAGGACTAAAGGGTGCGGGCAGCATCCCAGCGAGAGACGTTCGGTAGCCAGGTCTCCGGGTTTGACCTCAAGTGCCAGGTGTGGGGAAGAGGGGGTAGAACATTGCATCACGCAAGGAAATACCCTCGAACTGATGGAACATAGGAAGCTACCTTAGATGAGTCAGACCATTGGTTCATATTGTCTACACTGACCGGCAGCGGTTGTCCAGGGTTTCGAGCAGGCGATCTCTTCCAGCCCTATGTGGAGATGCCAGCAGGGACTGAAGCTGGGATGTTCTGCATGTGCGGAAGATGCTACAGCCCTTTCCCTCAGCACTGTGTTGAATACAACACCTTGTTGTGCTCCTTGCTGCCCAGGGCTCCTTTGGGAGGAAAGATGTGTTAGAAGAGGGAGGGAGGGAGGGAGGGAGGGAGGGAGGGAGGGAGGGAAGAAGGGAAGAAGGAAGGAAGGAAGGAAGGAAGGAAGGACCAAAGGACCAAACAGTGGTTAGGGAGGCAGGAACCGCTCAGTTAGATCGCTGAGGTGACAGAAGGGAAGATTGCCCTTGTTTTCATCCATGAAAGGTCTGTTATCACCAACTTTTCAGTTTATTTATTGTTTATTTCCTTATCTATTTCATAGCATTTATACGCTGCTTGATTGTTAAAAGAAAACCCTCAAAGCGGTATACAAAGAGAATAAAACAATAAAATTATCAATAAAAATCACCCTTTAAAACATTCAAAAGATAAGATCAGAAATAAACTAAAAACATACAGCAACATTTACATGTCTGGATAGACTTGTCTTTAAAAGCTGTTTTTAGCAGGCACTGAAAGGAGTACCGGGAGGACGCCTCTCTGATGTCAGTAGGCAGGGAGTTCCAGAGTGCAAGTGCTACCACAGTAAACGGGCCATGGACTTGTGCAAGCAATTTTCCTGGGAAAACTGTTGACATTGCAACTTCTCGGCCCCGGACACACTGACCAGATGCTTGGAAGCTGTGGCTGGATGGCTGCGTGGGAGCCGGTTGAAGTTAAATCCTTCGAAGACAGAGGTCCTTTGGCTAGGTCAGGATGACATGGGGTTGGGGGGCCAACTCCCATCTCTTGCGGGGGCTCAATTAGTGCCAGCGCCTTCTGTCAAGAGCTTGGGTGTAACCTTTGATGGCTCCCTCTCCATGGAGGTGCAGGTTGCAGCCACAGCAAAGGTAGCATTTTTCCATCTCCACCGTATCGAGCAGTTGGTCCCTTACCTTTCTCGCCCTGATCTGGCCACAGTGATCCATGTGACGGTCACCTCCAGGCTTGATTATTATAACTCGCTCTACATGGGGCTGCCCTTGAAGCTGACCCAGAAACTCCAGCAGGTGCAGAATGCCGCTGCGAGGCTCCTTACGGGGTCCTTGTCGCAGGATCACATTCATCCAGTGCTTTACCAGCTGCGCTGACTCCCGATGGAGTACAGGGTCAGGTTTAAGGTGCTGGTTTTGACCTTTAAAGCCCTATGCGGCCTAGGACCCTCGTACCTACAGGACCGCCTCTCCTGGTATGCCCCGCGGAGGACCTTAAGGTCCACAAATAACACCACTTTGGAGGTCCCAAGCCGCAAGGTGGTTAGATTGGTTTCAACTAGGGCCAGGGCCTTTTCAGCAGTGGCCCCGACTTGGTGGAACGCTCTGTCACAAGAGACTAGGGCCCTGCAGGACTTGA